TAATGTCCCCACAGGTTCCAGATGTAAAATTCTATAATCAAGGCTGGTAGATTTGTAATTATGGTGTGTCAGCTACATTTAAACAAGAGTGTTAAAAGATTGTTAAAGTTAAAGCAACACAATTGCAGTGTGAATTGTCCTAGTCTCATTCTAATCTATTGGTGTCACTTTCATTTAATCAGAGGAAAACTACAGGGCAATGTCAGTGAGATCTCTAATACCTTAACATTCTTTGTTCACACTGGATTTTAAGCTATTATCAATCTAAAATGGTTATAAAAAGATATATTTAAGAAGGTATTTTTGATCAATTAGTTCACCCACCAGTGGTTTATCAGCTTTTACTAAAAGTTGGCTTTAACGTTGTAAGTCACCTTTTAAATTAAATGAATTAAGACATTTTTCCCTCTAGAACGTCTTGAATTTACCATGTGTCTAGTAACAAACTTATTTTATAAACACAATCCTACTTGGAAATGTACAGTAGACAAAAGTCACTTAGCTAAAACACTACATCTGGACACAGAGTCAAGAAAACAAGTCCAAAGTTTTCTCTACTTTAAATATTTTCTGAACAATACAGAAAAAAGCTACTTTGGCAAGGATTTGTATTAATATCACACATTTTACATTAAGTAAGCCCAATGTATGCTGGGTGATAGTAAAAGGAGTGCCACCAACAAGCTCCAAATACATTACAACATACACAAAACGGAGCTAGGCACACGAAAAGATGGCCACTCATCTTACTTTACCTGGGGTGTCTCCAGTTTTAACAAAGAACGTTCCATATCCTTGGAAACTCCAATCCAAAAATGTAGGACAGTCGATGACACCTATATATCAATGGACAGACACCAGATAGGTGATAGTAATTTCACAGATCTGCACTGAGATAAAAAATTGGGAATATTATTTGGTCATTCCCTGTGAGGGTGGCCATATTAGCTGTGACACATCACAGATACCTATAAAGCTAGTAATCTGGAAAAAAAAAAAAAAAGAAGAAGAAGTCTAAATCTTTTAAAGAGCTGGCCAGACTAACAACTCTACATACTAGACACTCAGGAAGAGGGAAACTCAATTAGAAACTGCCTCCATCAGATTGACCTGTGGGCACTTTCTTGATTCACAACTGATACAAGAACAAGCAGTCCAAGGCAGTGCCACCTCTGGAGAGGTGGTTGTGGGCTGTTTATGAGAGCAGACTGAACAGGCCATAGAAAGCAAGGCAGTAAGCAGCGCTCCTCCATGTCTCTGCTTTAGTTCCTGCCTCGCTTCCCTCAGTGATGGACTGTTACCTGAAAGATGAAATAAACCCTATCCTACCCAAGTTGCTGTTGGTGCTCATCACAGCAGCACTAACTAATCACAGTAACTGTAACTTTCAGAGTAACACATAGTAACTAACACACACACACCAAACCTTCCAACAATGCCCACTATTGTCCAAGCACCACTTAACTTAAATGCTTGGGACCAAACACATTTCAAACCAGTTTTTCAGATTTTGGAATGTTTGTATAAACCTTACCAAGTGAACATCGTAACTCTAAAAATTAGAGGCTCTGTCATATCAGCACTCAAAAAGTTTTGTATTTCCACACATTTTGAATTTCAGATTTTCCACTTAGGGATGGTCAGTCACATGTCAGCAAAGTTGATCACTCTGAGAAATGTCATGTGATTTAGTGCACATGTCTATTTTCACAGCCTGAATTAACCCTAAAAAGGAAGAAAGTCTTTGTGAGGGAGAGGGTATACTTGAGGATCCCTCTCTATCAGAGGCTCAGTACCAGCTCAGCCTCACTGATGTCCAACATTCTCCGAAAGTGGACTTTTCCCTGTTCCTAGTGATCTAGTCTCTCCTCTGACTTGCTAATGTACAAGGTAACTTTTCTCTGGGTGGGGGCACTGTGAAGCTCTTGCTTATTTTCCACCTGTGGTAGTCTGAAGGAGAACGGCCTCTGTAGGCGCACATATGTGAATGTGTGGTTCTTAATAGACAAAGCTGTTTTGGGACTTGTGCGAGCGAGGTGTGTCAGGTTTCAAAAGCCCACACCAGATCCAGTTTCTGGTGTCCTCTGCCTCCAACCTGACAGTAAGATTTAAGCTCTCAGCTACTGCCCTAGAGCCACGCCTGTCTACCGCCATGCTCCCACCCTGATAGTCAAGGACACGCCATCTGAAACTGTAAACAAAGCCCCAATTAAATGCTTTCTTTTCTAAATCGCCTTGGCCATGGTGTCTATTCACAGCAACAGAACAGTGACTAAGACAACAGCTAAGGTACTACTCCTGAAACTCACTTTTACTTCTGTTTAAAATACAGGCTGGGTTATCATGAGCAGATGACCATCTTGATACCAACCACCATCTATTTAACTGTTTCCATACTCTCTTAACTCTCAACCTCTCCATCCAGGTTCCTTCCTAATTCCACAGCTGGGGACTTCTGAATCACAAGCATTGTAGCAGATTAACTTCAAAGATTACCCTATCCAAAATGAATTCTAGGACAAAAACCTTGAATATAAATTCTAGTGGTTCTCAACTTTGAGAGGAAAAAACTAAATGATGGTGACTTTAAACCACATCTTGCAGATAAAGCTGTGACTTCTGAAGAGAAATGAATGACTAGAAAAAGAGTTGAGAATAGAAGCTGGTCTTGAAACTAATCTTTGAAAAAAACAAATGCCCAGGACAGGATGGCTCAGCAGATAGAGGCGCTTGTTCCTGGTCCCACAAGGTAGAGAGAAAGCAGACTCCTGAAAATTGCCCTCTGACCTTCACACCTGTGCTATGACACAAACACCACTCCCACACACAACGAACATAAATAAATGCAATTTTAAAAAGGACAACAAACCCCATGAGCAGAATCCCTTTCCTAAAACCAAGTGCATTCTTGAATCATGAAACTAAACGTCTTTGAAATTATATTTGGAGAAGGGAAAAACAGCATACCTTTAAGCTTTTTTATTATAAAAATGTAAACATACACAGAAGGCCCACGGTCATTCTTCCCCAACATTAATATCTGCCTCATTTATGCTCCCCTTTGGGTGAGATAAAGTGTAGAATTCTCCCTCAGTATATTAACACAGAAAATAGAATCACAGTAAAATTAAGTTTTCAGGAAAAATAAAGAAGTAATAATATTTATGGATGTGGACACTATACAGCAAGATAAAATATGAGCAATCAACAGGTGATAAATTTTAACATTAAAACTATATGTCCTGTTTTACAGTACGTAAGAAAAACTGCTACACCTAAATGTCAACAGAAGAGCCATGAAAGAAGTGCATGATATACATTTTCATCAAAGCAAATTTCATATAAGCAAACTGAGATTATGGTAAATTATGAAAGTGTCACAAAAATTATTAATTTACTGAAATATAAATACCAAAGTTCAACTTCGATAATGCCCTATTAGTCTGCAAACAGAATTCCATCTACTTTCAGGCAGTTTATGTGGGCATCAAAGAATGTGTGAAAGTCTCACAAGTTAATTCTTAATTGCTTAAATGACAATTGTCTAGCATATTTATTGTAAAGCTACAGCTACTTGAAGTAAATGAATTTATAGAATAGTATATAGACCATGAGGGTGATAAGTAGCAAGGCCGTATTATTAATGGGAAAACATTACAAACCTTTTCTCATAACACCTACTTTAAAGCATACTCTTACACATCCTGGTTCTTTTCTACCAAATAGACAATATGCTAAGGCAAATGACACAACCAAAGATAAGTCTGGCAAAAGAGAACAGAACTGTGGGCCGAGGGCTGGTGTGGATTATTTGTATTTTGCGTTACATATCTCATACTCCTCTCCTGTTACCGCAACTTGCAATGTTCTGCCACAGCGTCCCAGCTGTCATCAGAACCCTTGCTTCATTTGCTTGCTCTGCTATATCACTGACAGGGTATCACTAACACCAGCCACAGCTGTATCAAACGGCACAGCAGCACTTCTTTCAGTAACTGAGTGTTGGGAGAATTTGGACTCTCTCTTCCAAATTCAGCAAAAGAGGCAGAGTTCGAGAATACATAAAATCAATGGCAGAATCAAGATTTGAAGTCAGCCACAATTCAGGGCCAACTATGCCTTTCCCTACCACTCATACCATCTCCTAGCTGCCTTTGTAATAAAAGCTTCCAAGTACGGTGTGAAGTACTAAAACTCAGGGGCAGCATCTCAACAAGTAATTCTTCACGGGTTGTTCTTTCTCTGGTGGGAATGTCAACAAACGGCAGAGCTACAACAGGAAAAAGCTATTCCCACTGCAGAACGGCCTGCTTCGTAAAAAGGCTGTTTATCTTTTCCCTTGGAATGCTTCACAGTCTGATCATCTTGGGTCTTGAACAAAACTACTTCTAATGAGCTCTAAAGTATGTAGGGAATCAAAGCATATCACAAGACTGGACAACTCATGGGAGGCAGCATCCCACGGCCCTGGGACGAGCTTGGGGAAGAAGTTTGCAGAGGTGCTCAAGTTCACGCCCCACTTCCCAAAGTATGGGAGTCGGCCATGACAGAGGACAGGTCTCCGCCACCGCCTCTTCTGGGTGGGCGCTCTCGCCGTCCCTTAAACTTGAGCGCCGTCCAGCCCACCTGCGGCTAGGCCAGGGTGGACTCCGCCTCCCTAAGGCGAGGTTCGGCCAGCCGCCGCCTGGCGTGCACAGGCCTCCAGCCGCAGGCCGCCCTCCTCCTCCCGACCCGCGGGCGCCGAGGAACAGCTCCGAGCCCCGCACGGACGGAGGCCCGGACGGCGCCGAGATCGCCCGGGGTCCCGCACGGACGGCGGTCGGGACAGCGCCGAGGGAGGCCCCCCGCCAGCGCCAGCCCGGGCGTGATCTCGGGCCCTCGCGCCCCGCCCGCCGAGGCCTGGAAACCGCGCCCGCCTCGGGCCTGTGCTCTGCCCGGCCTCCCAGGCGGTGAGGAGAGAAGAGCAGGCGCAGGCCGCGGTGTCGCGGGCCGTTCCTTACCGCTTCACCACGCCGGTCTTGATCTTGATCTGCCTCACGCGGGGATCCGCCATGGTCCCTAGAGCGCCGCCGGAAGGAGGGGCCGGACGCGCGCTGCGCAGGCGCAGAAGGCGCGGTGGGGGGCGTGGGGCCGAGGATGCGCGCATGCGCAGCCGGCGAGCCCTGCCCCGCCTCGCCTCCCTGCCCCAGCCTGGAATCGCTGACCCCAGGCTGTTCAGACCCAGTTCCCAAGGCTGATAGGGTCTCCTACCAACTGATTCTCCCGACCCTCCTTGTGTTTGAATAGCCCACTTGATTTGTACACAAGTTGCACTTTTTTTTTTTTTCAGTCTCCACAGCTGAGTGGAGAAACTTTTTGTTCCTGAGAAATTGGGCAGGATTATCTGCTTAATGGACAGTGTGACCTAGAAACTGTATCAAGGATAATTTTGGTTTTCATTGTCTGTTGTCAAATGGAGAAAGCTATCTGTGTTTGAACAAGTAAAATACCATCATGCAGGCAGTCAAAATAAATCTTTATCCTTTACTTTAAAAAAAAAAAAAGTTTGCAGTGTTCCGTTTGTAAAATGCCATGTGCTGTTTGTGGAAAGAGGATTCTGAGAATAAGGAGGTTCCTCTTATCCTACATTTTAGCAAGTGTGTTTCAAGTGAGCAGCAAGACTCACCCGGAGACATGCTGGCTCCCTAACTCTGTGACTAGGAGAAGGCAGTACAGCAAACAGCTAAGTGCATTAAAAACATTGCGCTTACTTGGCTAAGAGGGTGGTAGCCCTTGCCTCCAAGCCTGATGGTCTGAGTTCAATCTGCAGGACTCAAAATGGGGGGCTGAAAATACCCAACATCTGTGAGTTGCCCTTTGACCTGCCCAAGTACACTATGGGCATGCAAACACGCACAGAGACACTCCTGTTTCTTGTTTTGTTTTTTAAGTTGGACCTTGAGACCAGCTGGCTAAACATTTGGAACAAAAGTTACTATTGTTTGACCTATGGTGTAAAAAATGCCTACATTTTGGCAATAAAATGGCAGATTCCCAGCCACAAAGAGAACACACCGGAAATTCCCTCACCCACGAACTCCAGTGGGACTTTTCTGGTCATTTCTGCTGGGTGTGGTAAGTACCTGGTTTGATGGTGTTATCTATTTGCTACCTGTTATTTGTTCATCTATTTTTCTGGCTGCATACTTAATGAACTCAGTCACTTGAAAGCAAAAGTATGGTCACTGTAGATCATTTTTGTATGGCACACCAAATAATCACTACCAGTAGTGTATCTTAAATATTTAACAGTTTTTTAAAAATGTGTGTGGTACACAAAGGAGTGGGTGGTCAAGCAACATTTCTTACCTATGGAGTTCTACCTGTTAGTGAATACAGGACCCTGGCGCTTAACCTCCCTCTCCAGGAAATAGCCCCCGTAGGAAATAGTGCCCATTTTACATGAAGAGTGAGTGGCCTGGAGCCTCCAGCACAGTGCCCAGACACAGCAGACACGGAACAACTTTTGACTCCACTGTATTTTCCAAGATATGATTTGCATAAAATGAGGCAATGTGCTCTAGAGTCTCTTCCTGTTGAAGCATCCCACCCCACCCCCTAAGGAACTGAGACACAGCCTCCCTTGTTTCCTTATTTCTTGGCTCTGTCCTTCACTTGACTGTCTTTACCTTTCCTGACACTTAATCCACTCTAGTCTTCATGGCTGGCTCTGGACCACCATTCAGTCTTAATACAGAACCCTGGCTGCAAACGGGGTATCAAAAACAAGCTCCCATGGAAAGTCTTCCGGTGCTGGCCCCTGCCCGCGCAGTCCTCCGGGAATACATTGGTAATGTGTATTATGTGTTTATTTGTTTGGAAACAATTTGGTTTCAGTTCTTTACAAGGGCTGTGCTCACCCCTTTAGCTGAGGTGTATACATCTTTAGAGGCAAGAATCTTGTCTTTCATAAGCCTTCCTCCTAAACCTCCACCTGTGTGATATACACAGCAGGTGCTAATTCAATTCAATAAATACACTTCTCTAGCTGGCTGGCACACTGAACTACAATCCCAAGTGACACAGCAGAGCTGTGAAATACAGAGAAGGGGACAAACACAAAGTAGCAGAGTCACCAAGGCAAAATGCTGTGAAGTTAATAGAAACTGCAAACTGTCACCAAAAATGGTGCACCAAGGCCTTTTGCTACTGCTCAGGTCCTTTTAGACACCACAGATAAAATCATTTGACTCATCACATTTTCCTTTTTGCCCAGATTCTCAGACGTTCCAAGCTCAGTTTTGTGCTAATCTGTAGGAATTTCTTTTGCACACACACCTACTCTTTCTCCCCAACCCCCAACTTTGGAACTGTCTTTGCCCCTTATCTCTTTGTTTTGTCTTTGCTTTAACTGTAACTAACGAATATATGTAATTAATTCAGCAGCCGAAAAACCGCCACTGCTGCTGCTGCTGCTGCTTCTGCACATATTTAGGGCCGAGCCCTCCAGGACAGTTTGCATTGATCTATCAGTGTAATCTACATTGCATTTGTGAGGTTGGAACTTAACAATATGGAGTGTATCGTCACTTCATATTAGTAAGTAACGAATTAAATAAACTTGTCTCAATTGGGCTCATAGTCCTATGAAGGTATGTATTTGGAAGCCAGACCAACCTGGACCAAGTCCCAGCTCCTCTTTTCAGTAACTGTAACACTGAACAAGCTACTCAACCTCTCTTTAGCCCAACATCTTTATCTGTAAAATGTAGAAGATGATAATAATGCCAAACTCATAAGGCTTTCATAGAGCTTAGCTGAGTGCTGGTGTTTATCAGGTCCATATAAAATGCTAGTTGAATCTGGGAAAAAGGTCCTAAATTAGGATGTGTGCACACAGTAGGATATGAACATAGAGATGTGGGTCTTATCGATGTCGGTAAGATGAGCCTGAGCTTTTGTTTGATCATTTCTTATGACAAAGACCATGTTGCACTTTCACCAACAGTAGCCATAGCTAGTACACACTAGGTACACACTAGGCACTGCAATGTTTTAGGCCTTCCTCCTTCCTGCTTCGCTTCTGTCTTCCTTTCTTTCTGAAAAGGTATCTTGTCCAGCCTGCCTTTTGCCTCAGCCTCCTGAGGATATGAGCTTATAGGCAAGTGCCATCATGCCTAGCAATATGCATTTCTTCCATAAATAAGTAAGCTGCTTTGAAAAGCTTTTTGGTTTCCATTTAACCACATGTCACGGAGACTGCTCATTCCAGCAAGATGATGACAACGAGAACCTGAAATACCCTTGCCCTCCCTCCCCACATGCACTCATCTCCCTCCCTGCCTTGCTCTGACAGAGGGCTACAGGACAGCTCAGTGGACAGCGGTGCTGTATGGGCATGAAGTCCTGAGCTCACATCCTCAGAACCATGTAGAAACCAAGGCTGGCAGTGTGTACTTGTAACTCCAGGTCTGGGATGGGAGTGACAGTACAGATCGGGGGATCCCCAGGACTCACTGGCCAGCCAGCCAGGCCAACACGCCAAGCTCTAGGTTTTGTGAGAGACCCCATCTCCAAAAAATGTGGAAAGCATGGAGGAGGATGCCCAGAGTTAACCTTTGACCTCTGTGTGAACATGCACAGGAGGGCACACCCACATACACTTACAGATATGTGTACGCATACACCATGCAGACAGACAGACCGATGGACACAGGTGGGGGAAACTCGTGAAAGAGGCTGAAATTATCCGTAAAGCTTGTGAATTTTGTGTTGAGATGTCAGAGAGCTTCTAATGCTGCAGAGACATTCCGCAGCCAACCCGACATGGTGCCTCACATGGCTTGTCCACTCAGCTCTGGTGGTGCTGACCTTTGACCACAGAGCTAAAACAGCAGGAGGCTGGCCAACAAGGATTCCTGCCTCTGGTGTTTAAGCTCATGTGTAGCCCTCACCCGTAAATATGGGCAGGCTGACTCCGTTCTAACTAATAGTGTATGGCAGAAGTGAGGGAACGTTACCTTTACAATGAGGTTTTTTAAATGGTTCTAATTTTGGGTACATGTCCTCTTTTTTTTTCCTGAGGAATTCGTGGAGGGAGTCCACCTGAAGCTCCCGGCCATGGCTCTGTTGGAGTTGATTCAAAATGATTGCAAAACTAATGTTAACTGTTTCTTGCAACCCTCATGCCCTGCTAGTTTTCATTAGGCCAAAGTACATAATCCTGTCTTCAGCGTAGGCCTAGGAGCAGAGATCTGGCTATCCACTTTTGGCTTTCCAGTTCAACTCTGACTCTAACACTCAACATCCTACGTGCCCAGATAAAAGCATACCCCCCAGATGCTTTCCAGGACTGGCCGTGTTCTGCCCACTGCTGATACAAGGCACTGTGGACATAGATTCTAAAGGCTGAGAAGATGGGTGTGGTGCATAGTTCCTGCCACACAGCGGGGCTCCACAGGTTATCATGAGTAACCATTATTATCAGTCACAATGTTATTACTAGTCAGCATATAGACTGTGATTGTGAGCCAGGTCACCTTTCAGTGTGACCGTATCTGTGTTTTGGAAATCTTCCTCACCCCTATCAAACTTAGGTAACTGTCTCCTCAAGTGCCTCCTCTCTCTGAAACACGTTGTTGTTGAGGCTTTGGTTTCCATTGTAGCCTAGTAGTCAAGATGTCTTGGTTCTCATCACTCACCTCCTCCTCTTTGAATCTGGACTTCATGTAACACTCTCTTTCTTGCCCAATCCCTGCCGTCTGCATTTGCTTCCCACTTGCCTTGAACACTTCTATCTTCCAGTGTAGCCTACCCAGGTCTCCTTTATTCTAACAACCTCATTTCTTCTCTCTAAGCCAGCAGTTCTCAACTTGTGGGTCACGACCCCTTCGGGGGGTTGAACGACCCTTTCACAGGGGTCACCTAAGATCATTGGACAACACAGATATTTACATAAGGATTCATAACAGTAACAACATTACACTCAAGGAATACCAACAAAAAAAAATTTTTTTTGGTCCAGGGCCACCACAACATGAGAAACTGTACTGAAGGGTCAAAGCATGAAGAAGGTTGAGAACTATTGTTCTAAGTTTTATGGGCCAATAAACTGATCC